ATATATAAAATTTTCTAAAATCATTTAATTTGCGTTGCTTTAGTAGTCCATGAATGGTTCTTTACATTGCTTGCAGCCTATCATCTGAATGGATTAAATTTGAAACAGTGAGATGTTATGAATTTCGGTATCAATCTCCCCCCACATTTGCTCATGAAAACAAACATCTTTTTTTGTTTACTGTTTACGTGTTGTTCATTGCCTAGCATGTACTTAACTTGAGTACAGAAACAATCTTCTCATATCCGTCAAAAACCTCCGTGATTATTCAGATTCCGGATCATCTTTCTCAGAGGAAACTGTTCAGAAGATTCTCTCAGGTATATTAATGCAACACTTGGGTTTGCCAATTACGATACCTAACATCCACACTGAAAATCCTAAACAGTCCTAATAAAATGAACTGTACCCCCTCTTGCAGGCGACCTGATAAACTTTGACGATTTATCCATTGAAGAAAAGAAACATTTCAAAAGAGCCGTTGCCTCAGGGGAGCTCGGCAAACTGATCCAACCGTGGGACCCATGGTGGTTAAAGCCTTCCGCCAAACACATTGCACTCAGCCCCGACGGGTCCCACTTAGTCCACCCCATTCCGAACTCAGACAATCCAGACAGCGAAATATGGCCCAACATCATCCCACATGGGCCCGAAAGCCCGTTACCGCCCGTTTCTCAACTCACATCCTCAAGCCCATCCCCACTGTTACCAGTCCACCTCGTGGACATCATATACAGTTACTGCTTCACTCTCCGCCTTTACAACGGTGACTGGGGAGCGGATCCTCTGGATGCTTCCACAGTAGTCCATACCGTGTCCTCTGTCTTGGGCCGGGATGGAAAACCTCAAACGGTGTTGGAAGCCTTGCTGGACTGTCTGGAGCAAACGTGCTCGACGGTTTATAAACAAATGGGAGGTTTGCAGTTGGAGATGAGAATTGTGGATGATGTGATTTGCTTGTTCTGTTTGGGAGGAAATGCTTTGGTTTGTGCATTGTGTGATATGTGGAGATTGGTTCAAACGGGCGAACGGGAGCTGAAGTCGGAGAAACTGAACAAGTCAAAACGGGCTGAGTTGAGGGGAAAGCTCAAGTCAGCCGAGAGGAAAATTTACTTTGTCATGTGTTGGGTTCGTGAGCAGGCGAACGAGACTTGG